GTCCGTGTTCATTTTCTTTCATTCAATGGAAAGAGAATTTAAAGAATGTTGTGAAATAAAATACATTGTTTGTCCCCTTGTTTGTGCCCTTCGAGGCACTCGTAACTTTTTCTTCATTTAAAACTTTTAAAAGATTTTTAAGAAATAATAGCTATCGATTCTTTAAGTGTAATCAAAATCCTTAATGAATATCCCAGTAACTAGCTTACATTATATTTTTAATTTATATTTTTATGATTTGTCAAGTCTTTTTATTAGATTTTTTTAATTTTGAAAATTATGAGACAGATATTATTAATTGTAATGTACTCAGCGATTGAAAAAGACAAAGGTTTGTCTGTACCAAGCTGCAAACTGCGTAGTACATTATGTAGAGAATGTTATTAAATTACAACTAAGTATTCACTTAAGTTAGTTATTAATTGTAAAGTAATGTCATGTAATTGGTGAAAGTAATTTCGACAAAATTGGATAGTACATTTTCCAAAAAATCAATCTATTGTGTTTTCTTTCTCTAATTAATCAGTTGCAACAAAATATAACAATAACAGCGGAAAATTAATTATTAGAAAAGTACGTGCTGAAATACGTGCCAATTATGGTACGAGTATCACCAAGTATGTTGTATGTATGTATAATATGTACAATGTCATCATTCTTTAATTGACTTGCCATATTCCTACATCCTGTGTGCAATATCTGAAGCAAATTCTATTAATTATATTTGTTATAATAAAGTAATCTTTTATATTTTTGTCATAACAATAATTATATACATACAGAAGAAAAGATTAAGACAGCACGATATTAAATTCCACGTGCGAAAAATATCTGTAAATAGAAAAAAAAATTAAAAACATATGTATAAAAAGAAGAAAATTAATTACCTATAAGAATAATACAAAAGATATTTATAAGGAAGAAGACGAAATCGAAAATGAAACATTCATCGCGGTGTGTTTCATGATTACGAATTTTCTAACTTTCGAGATTAGTTATATCTATAATTTACTTTCATTGAATTTATAGAGAATCGGATAATGTGTATCGCATAATGCAAGCATCTAAATTTATATCCGTTGGCAATCTGTCGAAAAAAAATTTGCAACGATAAACGCTTAAACACTCTGTTAAAATTACTGACCATATAATATATCTAATCTATAAGACTATCTCCGCAAATCAATCACGATTAAAGGTTTCTCCGGGCTACAATATATATAAGCGTTTTAGAAATTAAAACTTCTTAAAATAATTCACAAGTGTATGTGCAGCGTCATAGTATAATTTGTGTACCACCCGCAAAAGTTAATACTAGCACGGATAAATCATAGCCGACGATAATGTAATAATAAAACTTTTTCGCATACAATTGTGTACTATATAAATTTGCGTTTCTGTGTAACCAATTTATGTTCTAGTGAAACGTCATAAATTGAATTTTTGTATAAAAAGTAATGTTTCTATTTGTAGCTGTACACATGTCTAAATCTTGGAAGACCCAAATATTTCACGCACATAACAAAATATGCTGGAAATAATGCCTCAAACATCCTTAATCTAACATTATTTTACAGAAGCGGGATCTTACAGACATCGATTTTAAAAAAGTGGAATCTTACAACATAGTACCTCGGTTTGTGAGATTTCACTGCAATAAAGAGTTTTTTCAACAGTAAAGATCGTTACTTATGGCCATAATGGAAAAATTGGAAATATTGTCTCGATGTTTGGGAAAGTGTACCTGTATTTTTAGAATTATTTTATAAAACTATTTTTGCATACAACTTTTTGCAATAAGTGGATTATATGAATTCCTATGAAAATTCTCGCGATACTTTCATTCTAAAAATCACGATTTAAGTTGCAAAAGAGAAACGTGCAAGTGAGAGATCGTCTTTCAGTTGAATTGACAAAACTAATCATAT